GGGCTGGTTTAATTAATTAGTATTTTATAATTATTTTAGACGGTGTCGTTTAGTTGAATACGACGCCGCGGAAGGTAAAAACAACACTGCGGTACTAGGAAAGAAACGACATTGTTTAGTCAAAGACAATGTTGCAAGAGTTTAACAATGTCGTGAAAGCGATGTTGTTTTGCCCAAAACAAGGTCGCGAGCTCGACGACGTTGATGAGCTTTCGTTCAGTGTTGAGAAACTCAACAACACCGTGAATTCGATAAAGTGGGGCATCAATGGTGGGAATTCGACGATGTCGGGATACTAAGAGCTACGTTGTTTAGAGAGCAATGTTGTAAGCCATGAATCATCATTGAAAGTGGCATTGATGTTGTGAGTGCATTGATGTTGCAAGGCTGGGAGCTCAGCGTTGCGGTGTTGTTTGTGATATGCTGTCGTTTTATGAACAATGATGAATGTAGTTTGGCTTGAGGAGTCGGGGTGGATTATCGAACCCGGGTGGATAACTAGAAGGGTGGCTCAATGTCGTTTTGCCAAGTTGCTGCGTAGAAGAGCGGTTTCGCTCTCGTGGGAGTTACGCAATAAGGAGGAGGTTACCTGCACGGTTGACAAGAATGAAGACGTCGGAGACAAAGCCGCGAAGGCAGTTACTACGACTACGGGGAGAAGAGCGAAGTATAAAGATTGGGAAGAGAGAGAAGCTCGAGACGGCATAATCAAATCTCAAACTGCATCGTCGCAGACTTATCATTTTTTCTCTCTAGTTCGTAGAACCGCTCTGTCAGAGAAATCCTTTGCAGAGTCGTAGTCGTAGCTTGTAGTCGTAGTCGCGGAGCTCTCCAGAGGAACCTCCATAGGAGTAGAGGTATCGTAACTTAGAACACTCCTGGTTCGATTTTCTGGTTATTCGCCGAACACCCTCGTTCGAACGTAGTTTGGAGAGGTGGTGAACCGAATCACGGTTGTTTGATTAGAAGTCAAAGGTGTATCGATCAAATCAACATCGCCGACGTCGGCGGTGGATATTTGACGGTCGTCTTGGTTTCTGTTTTAATCGATCAAATCAACGGCGCCGACATTCGGCGGTGGATATTTGACGATTGTGTTGACTTTGTGTTTTTGTCTCCTTGAAAACAGAGCGCATTAAACGCGCGCGTTTCGCCAACGAAACACGTTCTCGTAGATGGGGTGTGAGCAACTGGTTGCATAGTGAGGTTTTGGTGTATGGTGTCTCCTCCTCCTCCTTATGATGAATTCGCACGTGGGCGATGTCTTATGTTATATCTTTTGAATTGAATGTTTAGAAATTGTTCTTCTCGGCATTGGGAATTGCTATATGGCCTCTCAATTATTTTATGGATCTCTCTTTCCGCCAAATTGAAGAATCATTTCAACGACTTCATGCAAATATATATATATGTAATCTATTTTTTTTTTTAATTATTGAGCATCAACTTGTGATCGGTGGTGCCTCCCTGCGTATTATTGCAAGTTGTAGCCTATAGTATAGCTAGCTTGTAGGGGTTGGCCACGAGGGATGGGATGGGATGAGGTGGTGATTCGATGTAGCCCTAAGATTCAATGATGAGCTCTGAAATTATTTTATAACTAACTAATTGAGATTTGAAGCAATGCATGCCCCACGTACATCATACATACATTTCTCAGTCAGTGTATGGGTGGGACTGCCGCCCCTCTAACAGATACTAGCTAATTGCATCACTAAACCGCTAGTTGTTCCGCGCCGCGGACACACCATACCACTTGCTTAACCGGCATAACAGCATCAAATTGGTTTAATAACTTTACACTATCTATGTACAACGAAAAATAAAACTAGACAAATAATTGTAAACAAAGACAATAAAGTCAATTGTATTTCATACCCACAAATCTAATTCAACAAAATCCATCACGAAATCAAGCAAGCAAACAATGGTTTGATACAAATTCATAATGGACCAATTGGTACTAAAAATAACGAAATCACTACGGATTATTATAAAATCAATACAACATCTAAGCTAAATCACTACTAATTCAAACTAGTAGTAGTTTTTCCCTTGGTTAGGACGGTGCTAACTATTGTACAATTAGCACCGTAGCCGTTCCCGACCAATTCCATCAATATATTCTATATTTTTATACAAATCTTCAATTTTCAAATAGCAAACTACTTATAAATTTGATTTCATCGGAGTAGATGAAAAGTGTTTGCGAAGTACTATTTATTTATTTATTTATTTATTATTATTATTATTATTATTATTATTATTATGTTTATGTTTATGTAATATTAGAGTGCGTACCCAAATTTCAGTCAAGAAACTCCATCCATGCATGCATGTGCTTTCCTTCATATACCTGCTGGCGCAGGTTTCACACACTCTTTTCCTCATCTGTCAGGTTTAACATTCTTTAGTGTATTTACCAATTTTCCATGAGAAAAATGCAGAAAATTGTAGGCCTTAATATTAAAATTTATGACGGGCATGATTTTTTGGAAATTTGACCATCACTTTGAGAATAATATTGGGTTTGATCGTTAATGTTATAAGTGTCATTAGACTACGATTAAGTGTAGTAGGTGTGGGGCCCGCTTTCATTAAAGCCCACACGTAGACCAAGCCATGCAGGCCCATTCTCATGCACGGGTTAGACGTTGTTTGTTGATGCTAACATAGGGCATGATTGTTGTATAGATAGGTGAAGGTTCTCTGCCGCCTGTACACATACACTTTCAGCTTTCTCTCATCTCAGTAAATCAGTAGCCTGAAGAGCGTTCAAGCTCTCCTGTGGATTAGTTCTGGATATCATCCAGGGATACCACGTAAACTCCGGTGTCTGTGTTTGATTTCTTTTCCGCATCATCATCAATCTGTTTCTGTATTCGTCAACATGGTATCACAGCCAACCGCGACTGATTCTGAGAGGCCAATGGTACGCCTCACATCTACCAACTATGCACTGTGGGAATTCAATTTTCGAGTTTTTTTTGAAGGGCGTGGGTTACTTGGTATTCTGAATGGTATTGTTCCACAACCCACGGCTGAAACTACCTCGGCTCAAGAGGTAGCTACTTGGATCCAGAATGACGCGAGAATCCGGTCATGGCTGTTGCACTCGGTCGATCCGTCGACCTGTCTAAGTCTCCGCTTGTTCCCTACCGCGAATAGAATGTGGCGACATCTCGCGGGATTGTATTCAACGACCAGCGCAGCTCGACAATTTGAAGTCGAGACAGCTTTAGCTCGTCTGACACAGGGAGACAGATCTGTGACGGAATATTTTAATGCTGCCCAAGAATTGTGGACTGAGCAGGATATGCTCCATTTGGCGCTGCGTCCACAATCTATGTCTGACGATATGACCGTTGAACGACAACAAACTAGAGTCATGCACTTTCTTATGCGACTAAGGCCTGAATTTGAGAATATTTGAGCCACAATTCTGAACAGGGAACGTCTTACCTTTGATGGTGTGATAAGTGGATTGGTTCGTGAAGAAACTCGATTGAGAACTCAAGCTCAATTCGATGTGCACCCTGGGTAAGGAGAGACATTTGCAGTAGCTCGTGACTACTCGACAAAGACAGGTACAAGACAACGTTCACAAGTGCTAGCTGTGACTCGGCCACAATTTAATTCTAGAGTACCTAATGCTGAGCTAGAATGCCATCATTGTCATGAGAAGGGGCATTTAGTGAAGCATTGTCGTCGAAGGAATTACTGTGTTTATTGTAAAAGGATGGGGCACATTATCTTGGAGTGTCGTACCCGTGAACGAAATGCTGAACGGTTTCCTGGAAATGTACCTGCTGCTGCTGGACGCGGATCACAGGGTCGTTTTACCCGTCCTTCCTATGCTGTGGAAATTGGAGAATCAAGCCAAAGTGGGGCCGCTGCTGGGAGTGTCTCTGTGGCACAAATTGAGCAACTTGTGCAAGCTGTAGCAGCCCTCCAAAATTCCCTTCCCACAGCTGTTGGAAACGCTTTGTCAACCTTACAAGGTAATACCAAACCTAAACCATGGGTGATAGATTCAGGGTGCTTTAATCACATGACTATTGATGGTAAATCTCTGCAAAATATAAAGTCTATTAGTCATGTTGGATTAACGGTTGCTAATGGTGATAGAATGGCAGTAACAGGGGTGGGTAAAGTGGATACTCCTTACATATCTTTATCTCGTACTCTTCATGTTCCTGATTTAGTTCCTAACTTGGTTTCAGTTGGACAACTTACTGAGCAAGGTTATTCTGTTATGTTTGCTCCTACTGGTTGTGTGATACAGGAATTGAAGACGGGGAGGCAGATCGGAAGGGGGAGTAAACAGGGGAGGATATTCTACTTGGAGGAGCTTAAAGATAGTTCAAGTTCAACATCATCTTCGTCGAGTCAGTTATCCATAAGTTATTTTGAGTCTAGGTCTGTCAGTAGTCCTTCGCAACCTTTTGAAACTTCGTCTGTTGTTGGTCCTGTGTTTTCTAGTTTGTCGAATAAAAAGTGGGACCTATGGCATGCTCATTTGGGGCACTCACACTCCGGTCGTCTTTCTGTTATGTTTAAACAGTCACTCGTAGGGCAGAATTTTGTTGGAATCTCACCCAAACATTCTTGTACTAGTTGTGTGGAAGCAAAAGCATCTACCGTATCTTTTCCCTCCAGTACTACTGTTATAATGAGCCTTTTCACATTATTCATACTGATCTGTGGGGTCCATGATATAAGCCGAGGCTCTAACTCCTGGACTTAGATAATCAGAATACGCAGCAAAGATCGATTAGCAAAACAAAGAGCAAAAGGGGCGGAAAATAACTCAAATCAAAGCCACAATTGGGCAGAGGGCCAAGTATACGAGTGACTCCACAACTAGGGTGATTGACTAGTTGATAACGTCGGTTTCTTCTAGACGGCTTGATTCCACGAACAGACTAAGAAGGATAAAAGAGTTTCAAGATTGAACACTCAAATAAGGGTTTTTCATTGATCAAAAGTTGTTTTGTCCGTAGGCATAACACCCTTTATTTATAGAGGTTACAAAATTAAGAAGGAAACTAATAGGAGTTAAAGAAGGAAACAAATATCCAAAAGATTCTAACATATTGTTTTTAATGCTAATGGAAGATTCTTAGCCACTAATTATTCCCTTTCCATGTTTGGCCAACTTGGGCATCAAGAATGTCCTTCTTTCTCCCCTTTCCTTTGCCTTTCCATCATGGTCCATGAAACCGTACCGGAGACTGTACCAGAAAAGTAAGCGATAGGGTATTTTATGGCAAAACTGTGGTTTAACCGTAGTTCAACCGTTAGTACCGTTAAATACCGCCTATCGGTTTAGCCTCCGGTACTGGTATTTTATGGTAGAACCGCCGGTACGGTACGGTTTAATGGACCATGCTTTCCATGTGAGGCCAACTTGGGCATCAAGAACGTCCTTCTTTCTCATCTTGGACGTGGATAACATTGACATACTGGCCTATGAACGAATTCGACTCCAAAGATGGAAAATGCTCTGCCAAATAAGATTGAAGTCGACCTTTGAATGCCTTGGCTTGACTTCTAGTGATTGGACCACGTTCCTCTTGCACCAAAGTTGGACTTGTGATCGCCTTGGTGTTGATGTCCTCATCATCCCCCTCCACTTGAAAAGGATTTGCCCTCAAATCTAAGTCATCTTCAAGGAAAGAAGCTAAGTAAGCATTGTCATTGATGCGGGTGAGGACTTGAAAGGGACCATCGCCACGAGGCAGCAACTTAGAACGTCGTTGTTGGGGAAAACGCTCCTTCCTCATGTGAACCCAGACCCAATCTCATGGCTCGAATCGTTGAGGACGCTGATGCTTGTTCACGTTCTTCAGAATCTGCTCAGTTCGTCTCTCTATGTTCAACCGCGCCTTCTCATGCAGACCTCGAACAAACTCTGCTTTCTTCACACCATCTAAATTTACACGCTCATTGACAGGTAATGGAGACAAATCCAATGGGGTTAAAGGATTAAATCCATACACAATCTCAAACGGTGAACACTTAGTGGTAGCATGAATAGCCCTATTATATGCAAACTCTACATTAGGTAAGCATTCTTCCCAAGACTTGATGTTACTCTTAATGACAGCCCTAAGCATTTGAGACAAAGTCCTATTAACTACTTCAGTTTGGCCATCCGTTTGAGGGTGGCAAGTAGTAGAAAACAACAACTTAGTACCAAGCTTACTCCATAAAGTTTTTCAGAAGTAACTCAAGAACTTGATATCACGATCGGAGACTATAGTACGAGGCATACCATGCAACCTAACAATTTCTCGAAAGAACAGTTCAGCTACATTAGATGCATCATTAGTTTTACGACATTGGATAAAGTGTGCCATCTTGGAAAACCGATCAACCACGACAAACACAGAATCTCTACCATTCCTAGTCCTAGGTAATCCAAGAACGAAATCCATAGAAATATCAATCCAAGGAGCGCTAGGAATAGAGAGAGGAAGGTATAACCCGTTTGGCTGAACCTTTGACTTGGCTTGGCACACACCTTCTCCACGTCACTCCTCATGTGTGGCTAGTATGATATGATCCAAATTGGCCACTTCTACAAGTCACAATTACTTGCCAAAGAAGCTATCAAGGTTGGAAAGAAGAAGGGCAGAATTTGGCTAAGTCAAAATCCGTGTTCAGGTTACATACTTTGGAGGCATGGTTCTCTCAATTGGCTTGGTGGAAATTCCATTTTAAGAGTTTGTTTTGCAGATAAAGTTTCCAACTTTCCAATGGTATGCTCTGTGGATCCAGATGATGTCATTAAGGTTCTTTTCCAAGGCCTCCAAGTTGCTACCTCAAAACTGGAAAACTGCCAGAAAATGGTTAAGTCTGGAAACTGTTTTGTGAAGCCTACTTTGGAGCTTGATTCGAGGAGTATGGATCTGATTCAAGACCAAAGGCTTCCACATGAAACTAGGTATGTTTATGTATAAAGGGAAGGAATTGGATGAAGGATTGGAGTTCGGGAAGGCTTCGAACGAATGGCACGAAGTTACTACGAAAGCTGCTTTTTGACTGTTTGTTGGCAGCTTGCTTGTGCTTCAAGAAAGGGAGTTTAAACCAGAATTTTTGTGTCCTTTTTAGTGTAGACATTTACCTTAATTGTTTCCTAGCTCTATTAGGATTGTATTAGGTTTATTTTCATTTAAATACCTTCTAATTACGTTGTAAAATTCAGACTTTGATTAATCGAAAAACAAACCTTTGGTTTTGTGCAAGTTGCGACTTGTTTTGGGTTTGGTGGATTCCAAACTTGCTGAGCTTGTGTATCGATTGAATAGTCACTTCAATCGTGGTCGAGCAACTACCCTTTTATACCAATCGAGCTATCCCCAGGTGTGGATTTGTCCTTTTGGTTTCGTTTTATCCAAGTTCGTATTAAGAACGCGTTGTTCTTGATTCGAGCTCAATCGATTCTTCGATTGAGTCGTTTGCTGCGTGACTTTGATAAACATACACCCCCCCAGGGGCGTATCAAGTGGTATCAGAGCCTGGTTCAACACAAGGGACGAATTCTGGTAAGTTTCGCGGAGCCCCAGGAACGAATTCTATGAGGGAGATCGCATCAAAACCAGATGAATCGCATTATCCGATTTGGAGAAAAACTCCCCTGGGAACAGCAGAACTCGACGTGAAGTTCTGGAGAAATCGACTTTGATAAACATACACCCCCCCAGGGGCGTATCATAGTAGACATGTTCCTGGAGGCAATCCAAAGTCTTGGATACCCCAAAATGAGCCATAAGGCCTCCACCATGAGCCTCTCTAACCAGCAACTCACGAAGTTGGTTAGCGCGAAACAAATAACCATCAACTCGATAATATTTTCCCTCTCCGTGCTTCTCACAAGTCGCATAGATCTCACCAAAATCAGGGTCATTGACATACAACTCTTTGATATGCTCAAACCCAATGAATCGAGCATCAAGAGATGAAATCAAAGCATACCTACGAGAAAGGGCATCCGCAACCACATTCTCCTTACCTTGCTTGTAGAGGATCACATAGGGGAAGGATTCGATAAACTCTACCCCATCGAGCATGTCGTTTGTTCAGCTTATGTTGTGCCTTCAATTACTTCAAGGACTCATGATCGGTGTGGATCACAAACTCCTTAGGCCATAGGTAGTGTTGCCATGTTTCTAAATCTCGAACAAGAGCATAAAGCTCTTTGTCATACGTGGGATAGTTCAAGGCATCCCCACTCAACTTTTCGCTAAAGAAAGCCATTGGCCTCTTCCCGTGCATCAAAACAGCACCTATGCCTATACCAGAGGCATCACACTCGATCTCGAATGTTTTAGAAAAGTCAAGCAACATCAGCAAAGGAGCATGGGTTAGTTTATATTTCAAAAGCTCGAAAGCTTTCTGTTGAGCTTCACCCCATTGAAAGGTCATGTTCTTCTTAATTGTTGCGGTTAAAGGAGCAGCAATGGTGCTGAAATCCTTTATAAACCGCCGATAAAACCCTGCAAGACCATGAAAACTTCAAACCTCATTCACATTACTTGGGGTGGGCCATGCTTTAATTGCCTCAATCTTTTCCTCATCCACCTCAATTCCCTTCGAGCTCACCACAAATCCCAGAAACACAAGTCTATCAGTGCAAAACATGCATTTCTAGAGATTACCATACAATTGCTCTTTTCGAAGAGCCTCCAAAACAGCTTTAAGGTGATTCACGTGGTCATCTAAGTTCTTGGAATAAATCAGAATATCATCAAAATAGACTACCACGAACTTTCCAATAAAAGCTCTCAAAACATGGTTCATTAATCTCATAAAGGTGATAGGCGTGTTAGTTAAACCGAAAGGCATAACCAACCACTCATATAACCCATTTTTCGTCTTAAAGGTTGTTTTCCATTCATCACCTTCTTTCATTTGAATTTGATGGTATCCAGATTTAAGATCTATTTTAGAAAACACACTAGAACCATGCAATTCATCCAACATATCATCCAATCTAGGAATAGGATGTCGATACTTTACCGTGATGTTGTTGATGGCCCGACAATCAACGCACATTCGCCAAGTCTTATCCTTTTTTGGTACAAGGATGACGGGTACAACACAAGGACTTATGCTCTCTCGAACATGGCCCTTCTCCATCAACTCATCCACCTGCCGTTGGAGCTCTTTGGTTTCCTCTGGATTGGTTCGATACGCTGGTTTGTTTGGAATTGAAGTACTAGGAACGAAATCGATCTGGTGCTTGATCCCTCAGATGGGCGGGAGCCCTTTGGGAGTTTCCTCAAGGAAGACATCCTCGAACTCCTGCAAAACAAGCTGAACACTGCTAGGCAAAGCCTGAAGGTCGTTAGAGCTAAAAAGTGTCTCCTTGTAAAGGAGCATGATCATCGACTCCTGGGTGTTCAAAGCTTGCTTAATCTCACTTCCACTTGCAAAGAAATTATCTCTTCTCACTGGAGCTTCAGTCGTCGTTCTTTTCTTTTCGACGTTTGAATTTCTGTTTTTCTCTCGTGGCTTACTCACTAGGGTAGGGTCACTCGAATTTCTCTCTTATCTTCTCTCAACTCGTGTTTTTGCTCCCTCTCTTGCTCAAGAAGTCGTTGCAGTTGCACTTGGTCTTCATAGACCTCCTTGGGAGTCATTGGCACCAAGGCATGTGCTCGCCCCTTGCAAGACAGAGTGTACTTGTTCGTCTTTCCATCATGTTGGGCAGCTCTGTCAAATTTCCATGGACGTCCCAAGAGTATGTGGGCAGCCTGCATGGGTACCACGTCATAGAGTACCTCATCCTTGTATCTCCCAATCTCAAAGCTTAGTAGCACCTGACGTGTCACCTTAATCGCTCCATCCTCGTTCAGCCACTGCAATTTGTAGGGTCGCGGGTGCTTGATGGTCTTCAAGCCTTGCCTTGCCACCATGTCAGAACTAACAAAGTTGGTGCAGCTCCCTCCATCTATAACCATCGAACACAGCTTCCCATTAACCAAGCAACGGGTATGGAATATATTTTCCCGTTTCTCAATCTCTTCTCTTTGTTGTACGTTCAGAAGTCGCCGGACTACACAGGTGTAGTTGCCTTGCATTGGCAATTCCTCAGCTTCTTCTTCCTCCTCCTCAGTCTCAACCTCTCCATCTTCTGGCTCGGACTGGTACTCACCATTCTCCAGTAAAATCATCGTACGCTTGTTTAGACATCGATTTGCCACATGTCCTCGACCTTGGCACCTATAACACACAATAGAGCTCGAACGTATGTTAGCAGTTGCCTTCTCTCCAGTATTGGTGGCCGTCGGCTTGGGAACTGGCTTAGGATCCTCCTTCTTCACAAATGGGGCCCGTGTTGCACTCGAGGAAGCACTCGCGGATGGTGCAACCCTTCTTGCATAGCCTCCCTTTTGCTGCTTCTCAACCTTAGTAGCCATCTGTACCAAATCCACAATCTCCACATAATGGTGGATCTCCACAACCTGCCTTATCTCCCGATTGAGGCCATTGAGAAATCGAGCCATTGTTGCTTCTCTATCTTCATTGACACGACCTCGAATCATCATTGTCTCCATCTCCTTGAAATAATCCTCTACACTCTTTGCACCATGTCTCAACAAGTGAAGAGCTTGATGCAGATCTCGTTGATGATGAACGGGCACAAATCTCCTCCTCATGGTGGCCTTCATTTGATGCCATGTCGTGATGGGCTCTTCTCCGTGCAACCTCCATTCAACACCCAACTTGTCCCACCAAATAACGGCATAGTCAGAAAACTCAAGAGCAGCAATGATTACCTTCTTCCGTTCGGAGTAGTGTTGGCACTCGAACAAGTACTCCATCTTTCTCTCCCAGTCGAGGTAAGCTTCAGGGTCACTTCTCCCTTGGAATGATGGCACCTTCACCTTCAGTCCCCTCATATCATCATCCCTATTTTGGTGATACTCTTCCTCCTCGTAGTACTCCTCATAGTCTTGTGGTTCGGGAGCTCTACGAGCGTGAACTATGGGTCTTCCTCCTCGGCCTCTAACTCCTCATCCTCGTAGAGGTATGAGATTGTTGGGACCTAGAGGTCAACCTCGCCTTCCACCCCGTGGTGGTGGTGGTGGTGGTGGAAAATCGTCCTCCTCCTCGGGGTGGAGGTTAATAGCTTGGGCCATTTCATCGAGGCGAGCGTTAATGTGATCCTGCTGGCCTTGCATCATCCGGGTAAGGCGTCCCATAAAAGCATCCATGGTGGCTTGTGGAATGCCTTCCAAGTTCTAGACTTCCTGATTGTTGCGAATTTCTCCTTCTCCTGCCATTTAGTTTAGATACTCAAAACAAGAAGTTATCCGTCAATGCTTAAAGTTTCAGCTTAATGGTACAAACAAAGGACCTCACAAGTCACTCCCTCACGTTTTTGCACTCGAATGAGATCACTCGTTTTCTTACCACTTGTGTTTCACTCAACAAATTGGCTTTTACCCGATATTGAACTCACGAAGCCTCTTTCCACTCGCTCTCAGAAACCCTAGATGAGCTTTCTTAGTCAACAAGTAGAACAAGAAATAAAACAGTAGCTCGAGTCGCAAAAAATCTCAAGAAACCAACTAGCACAATCAAGACTCGACCAAGAATACACAAAACTTGATAAAAACACAAACTTGCGTGATCTGGCCTCTGTTTTTGTCTTTTTCGAGTTGTTCTTCCTGATTTTTAAGCTCGTTTTTTTTTTGTATTTACTAGAACGACTTTTTCCAACAGATGCACGTTACAATCAAGAATGAAATTAAACATTCAAGAAACAAAAATAAACTTTCTTGGCGACGTTTAAGAACACAAAACCTGTTTGGCTGATTTTCGCACAAGATAGGGGGATACGTATGCCACTATGTTTGAACCGGAGCTCTGATACCACCTGATATAAGCCGAGGCTCTAACTCCTGGACTTTGACAATCAGAATACGCAGCAAAGATCGATTAGCAAAACAAAGAGAAAAAGGGGCGGAAAATAACTCAAACCAAAGCCACAATTGGGCAGAGGGCCAAGTATACGAAGTGACTCCACAACTAGGGTGATTGACTAGTTGATAACGTTGGTTTCTTCTATACGGCTCGATTCCACGAACAGACTAAGAAGGATAAAAGAGTTTCAAGATTGAACACTAAAATAAGGGTTTTTCATTGATCAAAAGTTGTTTTGCCCGTAGGCATAACACCCTCTATTTATAGAGGTTACAAAATTAAGAAGGAAACTAATAGGAGTTAAAGAAGGAAACAAATATTCAAAAAATTCTAAGATATTGTTTTTAATGCTAATGAAAGATTCTTAGCCACTAATTATTTCCTTTCCATGTTTGGCCAACTTGGGCATCAAGAATGTCCTTCTTTCTCCCCTTTCCTTTGCCTTTCCATGTGTGGCCAACTTGGGCATCAAGAATGTCCTTCTTTCTCATCTTGGACGTGGATAACATTGACCTCCTGGCCTATGAACGAATTCGACTCCAAAAATGGAAATGCTCTGCCAAATAAGCTTGAAGTCGACCTTTGAATGCCTTGGCTTGAATTCTAGTGATTGGACCACGTTCCTCTTGCACCAAAGTAGGACTTGTGATCGCCTTGGTGTTGATGTCCTTATCAGTCCATCTCCTACAGTTTCTCGTCTTGGGTTTAGATATTTTGCTCTATTTATAGATCATGCTACCCGGTACACCTGGATATATTTTCTTCATCTCAAATCTGAGCTTCGTTCTGTTGCCATAGAATTTCTTAATATGATCCAGACCCAATTTGGTAAAACCGTCAAAATTATTCGATCTGATCCCGGGGGAGAATTTACCTCAACTCCTTTGCATGATGTCTATCATTCCCGAGGTATCCTTAGTCAAATGTCTTGTCCAGGAGTTTCTCAACAAAATGGTCTAGTTGAACGGAAGAATAGACATGTAATGGAACTTACTCAAGCCTTACTGCTTTCTTCTTCTGTTCCTAGTAAATTTTGGCCGGAAGCAGTAGTTACTACAGTGCAATTAATCAATTATCAAGTCACTCTGGTTTTACATAAAAAAAGTCCCTTCTTTGCTCTTCATGGTCATCATCCTGATTACTCTCGGTTGAGGGTGTTCGGATGTCTTTGTTTTGTCCTTCTTCCTAAACGTGAGCGTTCTAAACTGACTTCTAAAACTGTGTGTTGTGTCTTTCTTGGATATAGTAGCGTTCATAAAGGCTATCTTTGCTATGATCCTTCAAGCCAACGTATGAGTATTGCGATTTCAGTAGTGTTTTTTTAAAACAAAAAATTATATCCTCCTCAATCGGTACCTGAACTTGCCTTTCTTGATGGGCCAAATTCATTACCCGTCTTTGATGAAAATGTGGACGATAAAGTGGATGTATCCAATGATCCAGTGGCAATTCCTCCCTCTCCTGATCTGACATCTCCCACGACCAGCACGTCCAGCACGTTCAGCTCGCACCCAACTTCTCCTTCTAATTCGAGCAGCTCCACCTCATCACACAATGATCCTCCTACGCGCGATGCTCCACAGCTCCCTAGGTGATCATTGCACTCCAACAAAGGCGTTCCACCTCCCAGCCATGAGGATTATGTAGCACTTGGTGTGGATACTATCATTGTGCCCACTACATTTAAACAAGCACGAGTCAATCCCATATGGGATCGAGCTATGCAGGAAGAGTTCGGTGCATTGGAAGCCAACCGCACATGGACAGTTGTTGATAGACCAATTCCGTGCCCTCCTACTATTGGTTGTCGATGAGTTTATGCAATCAAGGTTCTTCCCGATGGATCGATTGAACGTAACAAAGCTCGTCTTGTTGCTGTGGGTTACACATAGGAACATGAAGTGGATTACAACGAAACCTTTTCACCTGTCGCGAAGATGTCTATTGTCCGAACCTTGCTTGCTGTTGCTGCTCTGCATAACTGGCCTCTTTATCAGCTCGATGTGAAGAACGCTTTCCTCCACGGAGATTTGGAGGAGGTAATATATATGGAGCGACCTCTTGGTTATACGGTTGGTCGTGAAGATCAAGTTTGCTTAATGCATAGATCTCTTTATGGACTCAAACAAGCTCCTCGAGCTTGGTTTTAGAAATTTTAGGCCACAATTGTTCAGCTGGGTTTTCAACAGAGACTCAGTGATCCTTCTCTTTTCACAAAGGTAACTCCTGCCGACATCGTTGTTCTTCTTCTCTATGTAGACGACATGGTTATTACTGGGTCAGATCCGCAGGGTATTACTCTTCTTAAAGATGGTTTAAAACAGGCCTTCGGTATGAAGGACCTTGGGAATCTATCGTACTTCCGTGGGCTCGAAGTCAGTCGGAATGATCAAGGTATCTTGCTAAGCCAGCGGAAGTATTTTTCCGACTTGCTTAGTGATCATAATTTCGATCATTGTCATCCTATCAAAACTCCTATGGAAGTTAATTTAAAGCTGAAGAAAGACTCTGGGGAACGCCTACAGGATGGATCTCAGTATAGGAGTATCGTCGGTAGTCTGATCTACCTTTCTGCTACTAGACCTGATATCTCCTATGTTGTTCAGATGTTGAGTCAGTTCATACTGCACCCTGTGTGGATCATCTCGCTGCTGTTCACAGGATATTGCGCTATCTACAAGGTACTTAGGATCTGGGCATTTTGTTTCCCTCGACCAGTACTCCTATGATTACTGCATATTCCGATTCAGATTTTGCAGGCTGTATTGATACTCGACGTTCCACGTCCGGGTGGTGTGTTAAATTTGGTGGTGCTTCTATCTCGTGGAGGTGTCAGAAGCAATACAAGGTTTCCAAATCTTCTACTGAAGCTGAATACCGGGCTAAGTCAAAGGTGGCATCGAAAATGGTATGGTTGCGCAGGCTGTTATCTTATTTTGGAGTTCGCTGTTCTAAACCTATGGCTTTGCATGTGGACAACACTAGTGCTATCCGTATTACTGAAAATCCGGTTCTTCACGACCGTACAAAGCACATTGAGATACATGTGCATTATGTACGTGATCTTATTCGGGATAACACGATTAGCTTACATCATATTCAGACGGAAGAACATGTAGCAGATATGTTTACGAAAGCTTTTTCGACTAGCCGACACTGGTATCTTGGAAACAAATTGATGCTCAGAGACCGGCATCAATTTGAGGGAGGATGTTAATGTTATAAGTGTCATTAGACTACGATTAAGTGTTGTAGGTGTGGGGCCCGCTTTCATTAAAGCCCACACGTAGACCAAGCCATGCAGGCCCATTCTCATGCACGGGTTAGACGTTGTTTGTTGATGCTAACCTAGGGTATGATTGTTGTATAGATATGCGAAGGTTCTCTGCCGCCTGTACACATACACTTTTAGCTTTCTCTCATCTCAGTAAATCAGTAGTCTGAAGAGCGTTCAAGCTCTTTCGTGGATTAGTCCTGGATATCATCCAGGGATACCACGTAAACTCCGGTGTCTGTGTTTGATTCCTTTTCCGCATCATTATCAATCTGTTTCTGTATTCGTCAACAATGATCATGTGAGGAAGTTAATTATGGGCTGGTGAGTGGTGAGACTAAGTTGATGAGATTGGTGAGCCCAAAATAGCCCTATATGGGCTAGCCCTTCCTCAGAACCCAATATATGGACTCGGCCCAAACGAGAAATCATCAGCTCGGCTTCTCGCCACGACGGCCGATGATGGCTTATGCCAGCCGAGCCGAATAAGCCAGACCGCTCTTTTGTTTTTTTCAGCCACACTGACTCTGACCCTCTCTATCCGCAAACAACAGTGGGGGAACCATAACTAAGATAAGGTTTTAAAGCCCTCTTTATCTTCCCCCTTTCATTTCCCTCTCCTCTCTGGCCTTTCATCTATTGCAGGAAGAACTCCATCATCAGTTAGCTTTCAGTCACAGGGACTTTGTTACAGGGAAAGAAACCATCTTTCAGGGACCCTTTTTAAACAAATTGCTCAAGGTACTGGCTTTTATCAGTTCTGAGGTCGATTATTTCGAGGCTGCTTTCTGTGGTTTCCCCGCCGTCTGTGTTGTTGAGTTGCTGAGGTTGATTGACGTAGTTCGGGGCTGCTTCCTTTGTCTGTATCCAATTTGGATGATTTGGTCTTCTGCTGCTGAGTTTGTTGCTGGCAAGTGTTGAATTGAATTCTTGTGATGTTTGTTTCTTGCTGTTGTAATTTGAGAGAGAATTCCTTGTATGGTCATGCTTGTTTGCAATGTTGTGGTGAATGTGGCTGGTTATATGTCTTCGGTTAGAATTTTCAGCTGAGTTAGCATGCTTGGTGAAAAGTATTGCAGCGTTCTGTGGATTGAGTTAGCTGTGGGAGTTGATATCGACTAATCGGTCGCTGGTAAGTGAGAATTGGTTGGAAGTAACATGATTACGATGTTTAATCTGACTGGTTTAGTCGGTAAATGAGTTTAAGTCTGTTTCTTGCTTTGCCATATTGTCCACAATTCATACATTACAAGAACTATGAATGCTGATTTTTTGGAACAGAGGTTTTGGATTTTGAGGTGGGGACTGACTTATATGATGCTTGAAACAGTGAAGGTTGTGATGAAGAACTAATTCAAGCTGCTGACAGACTGGCCAATTGGGATTCAAAGGAAACATGACGCCAGTAATCCCATGTTCTACTAGCAGAATCGCACTCATTCCAGGAACTCCCTTCACATTAAACAAGATCAATGTTCCTGCAAGATGTAGTTTATCCAGGAAATCAGCAAAGCATGCCCAAAGACTCGCCGTCTTACCCTTCCCAGCATCCATCAAGTCCTTGCCTAATTATAAAACTCATCATCATGCTTTGGCTCACAGAAGCACAGTCTTTGTTTCAGTATCAGCCACAGGCACAGACGTAGCTGTTGGGGAACCAGAAACTCCTCTGACAAGTGAGGAAGATTCTAGTAAAGCCTCAGAAGTTCCAGCAGAGACTGCTCCAGCTCAAGCTAAGCGTGCAAGGCCCGGCAGGAAAAGCGAGATGCCACCTGTAAAGAACGAGGATTTGGTTCCTGGGGCAATGTTCACTGGGAAAGTAAGGTCTATTCAACCATTTGGTGCATTCATCGACTTCGGAGCTTTCACAGATGGCCTTGTACATGTTTCCAGGCTGAGTGATAGCTATGTTAAGGACGTTGGTAATGTCGTCACAGTTGGACAAGAGGTTAAGGTGAGGTTACTCGAAGCAAACACAGAGACAGGTCGCATTTCTCTTAGTATGCGTGATGACGATGATAATGATGGAAATAGTAGTAAGCCACAGCAGCAAAGGAAAGATTATGCTGCTTCGACAGGTGGTGGAGATAAGCCGAGGCCTGGAAGAAGAAACACACAAAGGACTGGTCAGAAGAGGGATGAGAAGACTGCAAAGTTCGTTATTGGGCAACAACTAGATGGCACGGTTAAGAACTTGACCAGGTCTGGTGCTTTCATCTCTCTCCCTGAAGCTGAGGAAGGATTCTTGCCTGCTTCAGAAGAAGTTAGTGAGGGGTTTGGAAACCTTATGGGTGGTTCTCAACTGGTGATAGGACAGGAAGTTAGTGTTAGGGTTTTGCGAATAAATAGAGGTCAGTTTACTTTGACAATGAAAAAGGAAGAAGATAATCAGAAGGAGGATAAGAACTTTACTCAGGGAGTTGTCCATGCTGCTACTAACCCATTCATGGTGGCTTTCCGGAAGAACAAGGATATAGCTGAGTTTCTAGATGATAGAGAGAAGTTGCAGAAAGATGCTGAGATTTCGGAAGAGAAGGAGTTAGAGCAGGAAGAAAGTGTAGCTTCTCCAGAGGTGGCTGTGGAAGCTAACGTTGGTGAGAAGCAGGAGAGCATAGAGTCTAGCTCATCAGAAGAAGTGGGTAGTGCTGTTCAAGATGTAGAAGCTGAGCCAATCGAAGAACTGGAGAAGATTTCTGCAACCATGGACAACGTTGCAATTGCAGATCAGAAGGTTGAGGAAGAACCTTCAATTGAAGCAGTGGAAAGTGAAGCGAAGTCTGATATATCTGCTGAAGCTCCTGTTTGTGAAAGTGTCATAGAGATCAATTTGGAAGAGCAAATTGAAACAGTAGCCTCTGCCACACCAGTAGAGAATGAAGTTGTCTCAGAAGCTGCTGATGAGAATGGCAGTATCGTTAGTTCAGGTGTGCATGTGTAATTCTTTTTCCTCTCACACTGGACGTTAAAGTAATGAACGTACGAGTTCATGGGACAATTGCATTTCTCACGATAAGAAAGCATGAAAGCTAGACTGTGTTTGTTTCAGCTTAAAAGAAAAGTCACTTAACAGGAAAGGTCTGAATGCGAAACTAAAGCAAACTAACTTCAAAAATATTTTAACAAGAAGTAAATCTTCAGTCTATGAACTCACTCCTATTAAATGTATTTCCTTAAGCCATCAGACTTGGATCCATGTTTGACATTGAGCTCTTTCTTTCTCTTGTCTGAGCATAGATGGTGTTGAAAGCATAGACAATCCTGAGTTACCAGGAACTGAAACCCAGGCAGTGGAAAATGAAACAACTGAAGAAGTGGTTCCACAGAAAGTTGAAGCTAATGAAACAACTTCTGGTTCTCTAGTTGAAAGTGAGAAGCAGGATCCTTCATCCAAAGAGAGTGGGACAACAACAGGTTGCTCTCTCTACAACGCTTCTTCTTATCTCATGTACTTCTTCAATTCGTCATGTTTCGCGTGGCTCTGAACTTGTTTATATTATTTTCCTTTCGTGATGATCATAGCAGCAACCATCTCACCAGCTCTGGTAAAGCAACTTCGAGAAGAAACTGGAGCAGGAATGATGGACTGCAAGAAAGCTCTCTCCGAGACAGGAGGTGACATCATCAAAGCTATAGAATTCCTCCGAACAAAAGGATTAGCAAGCGCAGAGAAAAAAGCCAGCAGAACAACTGCTGAGGGAAGAATTGGGTCTTACATTCACGACAGCAGAATCGGCATCCTGATTGAGGTTAACTGCGAGACAGACTTCGTCTCTCGAGGAGAAATCTTCAAGGAGCTCGTGGACGATCTAGCAATGCAAGTGGCTGCATGTCCACAAGTACAAGTTGTTTCCACGGAAGATGTTGCTGAAGAAATAGTGAGCAAGGAGAAAGAGATTGAGATGCAAAAGGAAGATCTGTTGTCGAAACCAGAGCAGATAAGGGCTAAGATCGTCGAAGGGAGGATCAAGAAGAGGCTTGATGAGCTTGCACTGTTGGAGCAGCCATACATCAAGAATGATAAGGTTCTGGTGAAGGACTGGATCAAGCAAACAATTGCCACCATTGGGGAGAATATGAAGGTCAAAAGATTCGTGCGATATAACCTTGGTGAGGGTTTGGAGAAGAAGAGTCAGGATTTTGCTGCTGAGGTTGCTGCACAAACTGCTGCTAAATCAGCACCTGCACCACCAAAAGATCAACCTGCTGCTGCAACAGAGGAGAAAGAAGCTGTTCAGAAGTAAGTGGCTACTCTCTGAGGTTCATGGCTTTCAACTTGCCTCACAAAACTAAAAAGGCTGACACTGAACTTCATAAAAAATTCAAACTATAATGCTGTTGGACTCGCTTAAAAGACTGTAACTGAACTTTGATGCGGTATAAATGTGTCTAGGAGGGGTAAAATACACCAACCGTCACTTGACTTCGCTTAAAAGCTTAAATGCACTTAAGTTCGACGTGTGTTTTCTATGCTCTTTCAGGCCACCAGCAACAACAGTTTCTGCAGCACTCGTCAAGCAGCTGCGGGAAGAAACAGGAGCAGGGATGATGGACTGCAAGAAAGCCCTTGCGGAGACAGGTGGTGATCTGGAGAAGGCACAGGACTATCTCAGAAAGAAAGGCCTATCATCTGCCGACAAGAAATCCAGTCGCCTAGCAGCTGAAGGACGAATTGGTTCCTACATTCACGACTCCCGAATCGGAGTGCTGATCGAGGTCAACTGCGAGACCGACTTCGTCGGCAGGGGCGACATTTTCAAGGAACTGGTCGATGATCTGGCAATGCAGGTTGTGGCTTGCCCACAGGTGCAGTTTGTGTCGACTGAAGATGTGCCTAAAAGCATTGTCGAGAAGGAGAAGGAACTCGAGATGCAGAGAGAGGACCTTCAGTTGAAACCAGAGAACATAAGGGAGAAGATTGTTGAAGGAAGGATCTCAAAGAGACTTGGAGAGCTTGCGCTTCTAGAACAACCATTCATTAAGGATGACAAATTGCTGGTGAAGGATTTGGTGAAGCAAACTGTTGCTGCTCTTGGTGAGAATATAAAAGTCCGAAGGTTCGTGAGGTTTACACTTGGAGATGAAACCGACTAAAGAAGATGCAAAACCCTAGGAGTGAAGGTACTTGTTGCTTAAGGAACAGAGAAAAACTGGTGTCATGAGGCTGTTACAGAATATAGTTTTTGGATGAGAGGATAGGATTGTCCTGATTCTTTTCTTTTTTGTGATCAGAGCAAGTTAGCTTTTCCTTCTGTATTATTATTATTAATAGTTGTTTTCTCCCCTTCTACATTGATCCAAACAACAATTCTGATATGAATCTGCTAAAAGTGTTCCTTCATAAATGATAGCAGTTGCTGCTAAACTCAATACAACAATTACAAAAACTTGCATTTTCTACTGTTGAGATTTGAGAAAAGCCATCATTTCCCATGTAGGATATGTTTTGAGTGCCCCTCGAATTCGAATTCCTTTGCCTGGATTAATCTTTCGGCTCAAACAGCCAAAGGTCTACTGCAACATCCACTTCCTTCTTCTTGTGAAACTTATACAGTTGAGGAACATCAAACTGAAGCTGTAAATACAGGATCCAGAATGTTGTGACTTGTGAATGTTAAACCAACAAACATGACAATGTAAACAAGTTACAAATTCCAAACTCTACTTAGAATACATCAGAAACATTAATGATCCCTTCACTCACCTCACACAAAACCTCAGCAGTTTTAGCGCCAAAGTTGCGCAAGGCTGCTCTTTTAATATGCTGAAGTGAACCAAGTATACAAATGGTCATATTAGGGAAAGCTTCACAACCTGCTAAAGTTTCAGGAGAATCGCCCACCACCTTCAACTATTCAAATGTCCATACTGCACATTCAAGCAACATTCTTTACTTGCTACTAAGGCTACTCACGTCTCTGGTTGATGATTTGTGCAATGAATATACTGCTCCAGAAGAAATCTGGCATCAAGATATCGCACGATTTTATTACAAGAAGATAAAGACTTATGACCAGGAAAGTGCAATAGGTTTGAGAGAATTCGTACTTTTAAGGCTGTAGAGAGAAACTCCATAATTTCCTACCAAAAAAAAAAAAAAAGAGAAACTCCATATCCGCACCCTTCCGCCGGGTCCCAAATGGAGGGTTCATTATAACTGTGTCAACACTAGAACCTAACAGAAAGAGGATTTGAAACCATCAGACACAAACTTCACTTCTCAGAGAAAGATAATATGAAGAAAACTAGGTCGCTACTGCTACTACCTCTCCATCCTAGATTCCCGATGTCACATTGTACAAAGTCTATGTCAAGCTGCAGAGTGCAAAAATCATTCAGCAAACGGAAGATCATCATTCATCAGTTGAACAATGAACTCATCACCAATTCAAGAGGAGAGGCAAAATAGTACCTCGAGATCCTCAGCATTTGCTGTTGCCATCTCGAGGGATTCTGAATAAACATATAACAGCTCAATGTGGAGACATATCATAGAGAATCCTCCCTAAACAAGGAAAAATTGCTTCCACATTCTACAATGCATGGCATTTTCAAAAGCTGCCATCTCTACAGGGGGGAAAAACAAGGGAATGAATACATCATTTCAGAGCGGACGCGACTCACTCTGCGCCCATCAGAGCAGCAGCGGCGCCTAATGTTCCACAACCGCCGCAGCCGAAATCCGCCACAACCTTTTCAGTTACATCCCCATACGAATTTCCGCCTGATCAGTTGTGGAAACCACAAAACCCAAAGCCACGAACTTTCCCAGTTAGCTGTGAAGTAAATTCATCCTGGAAGAAACCCAACTCCGGGAAATGGAGAAGGGAAGCTCGTTGAGTGAAAAAGAAGCAGAGCAAATAAGTAAATGGGGATGGGGATGGGGATGGGGATGGGAAGTAGTAGTAACCATGTAGAGCATGCGGGAAGCGATGTGAGGTCCGGTAGGGTACTGCTCCAGCTCCACCTGCGCCCAGGCATGGCAATCGAGCAGACCCGATAGGCTCCGCAGAAAGGGAGACGAGGAGGAAGGAGAAAGAGGGAAGAGAGAGAGAGAGACCTTTGGGTTGGAGAATTGCTGAAGATTGCCTAATAGGCTTTCTAGTTGCTTCAGCTTCATTGTCTTGTCTCGGTAAAATTTCCTCCCCGGCAAAATTCAGAAGATACACGAACCAGAGGAGCAATGGAGTACTGCTCCAGAGTGAAAGATTCAATAATGCTTTTTTTTTTTAAATTCTAAAATACAAATGTTTAAAAAACAAATTCACAAAATACATAAATTATAAAAAAATTTCTCAAAATACACATGTTTGGGCATCACAGCTGTTGTCAACCGCAGTGAATGCATTCACCGCGGCAGACCAAAGCGGTGAATGCATCACCGCGGTTGACGGCCGCGGTGAATGCCTTATGTAACACTGAAACTTCAAACAAACGTAACTTTGCACTCGATTATCCGATTGTAGCGAATATTTTTTTTTATTTCTCATAACTTTTCAAGATCTTTCAATCTGCAAGAATCCTTCATCCAAAAAAAATTCGTCTGCTACCCCGAACGAACAATTTTTCGATTTTGACAGACTTTGGAAGACCATAACTTTGTGCTCACAATCCGAATGTCATGAAACTTTTTTTGATTTCGCATAATTTTTAAGTACTACAACTTTTATTATAACCATAATTTTGGAAAGTATGTGGATTTGTGAAAAGTAAAGGCAAAGTTATTGCCAAAATCTCGTATACCCAAAAACATTTCTTTTTTAAAAAAAAATTCTTCCTAGTAAAAGTTGTAATTCTTAAAAAGTTATGCGCAATCAAAAAAAACTTTACGACGTTCGGATTGAGGAGCTAAAAGTTATGGTCTTCCAAAGTTTGGCAAAATCGAAAAATTACTCGTTCGGGGTAACAAACAACATTTTTTTTAGATTATGTATTTCTTCCGATTGAAAGATCTTGAAAAGTTATATGAAATAAAAAACTTTTTGCTACAATCGGATAACCGAGCGCAAAGGTACGTTTGTTTGAAGTTTCAGTGTTAAGTCGGGCATTCACGCGGCCGTCAACCGCGGTGATGCATTCACCGCTTTGGTCTGCCGCGGTGAATGCATTCACTGCGGTTGACAACGGCGATGATGCACAAACATGTGTATTTTGAGAAATTTTTTTTATAATGTGTGTATTTTGGAAATTTGTTTTTAAAATATATGTATTATGGGATTTCATCTTTTTTTTTTAGAAAATAGAAATACCTTTTCTTTTCTTTCTACCCTCTTCCGAATCCCTAAGAAATTGCCCATAATTTCTTTAAATTTGGTTCCTTTTTTTTCTCAATTTATGTGACATTAGGTTGGGTCTAGGGTTTAACCGCAATGTAGTCAAAAGCGTGATTCTAACTAGAAACAGAAAAGGGGTAAAATCGTAAAGCATAAGTTTTTTACGCTGACTTAAAAATAACTAAAACTTTATTAAGTAGGACATATACTATATAAAATATGAATGCACAGAATTCAGTTAAGTTAATAAATACATGCAATTCATGCCTAAAGTAGAGCAACTTATAGCATCTTAATAATAAGTTCGTAAACATAAAGTTTAACAATAAGCCACTTTTTCCTCTTGGCTAATGAATTCGGGAAGAGCCTAGCTGGTGAATTAGATCACTCTATTGAAGTTGAGAATGCATCCAAGTACCTGGTATGTATTTTTTAATCTCAAATGTATCATATTTTTGGTGATTTACTTTTTAAAATATACTTTTTATAATTAATTTCATGAAAAAAAATACTCATTTAGTGAACTAAAAGCGTAAAAACGTAAAGCATTTTGGTGAACTAGAAGCGTAAAAGCGTAAGCTTTTAAGCTTTAAAACGCAATTTAGTTCGATTTTATACACTTAAGTTTTTATATCGAAACGAAAGCGGTTTGGTGATCCAAAAGCGTAAAATCGTAAGTTTTTAAGTTTTAAAGTGCGATTTTGACTGCATTGCTTAACCGCAACTGTAACAGAGCCATATATGCAAATCGTGACAACGCCACAATCAGTTAGTGGTTGACCACTACCCACAAAGTGCGATTAACGATTATATGTGATTAACCACATTACTAACTGTAATGATGGTTTGGGAAATATTGGTATGTGGCTATGTCATTGTGTCATAGTTAACCGCATCAATAATCTATTAAATAGCGATTACCTGTTATTTTCTTATGGTTAACCAACAAACCGCAAAACATGCAATATTGCTAACCATAATCACAAATAATCTTCTTCTTTTTTGTGGTTAACAACTAACCACACGGTTAACAGTTTAACTGCAAAACCGAATTCCCACCCCTAGGTTTACTGATGAGAAATACAGTTTGTTGTTTGGCGGCTAATTTCCTCCTCTGATCATGAGCATAGACATTTGATTATGTTTATGGAAAAAAAATTTATTCTATGGACCATTATCTATTTATTGTCTTATACTTCGTAGGAAAAACTTGTGTCATAATGTAATCCCAATCAAACAAGACAAAATCAATGCATCATTGTTCTTTATCTACTCATTGACATCTTGCCTAACATTAGGGATCAAAATCTCTCTTCCTGGAGACAGGTAGCATTAAAATTCACAGCATCCACAGAAATCAGAGCAAAAAGCACCCAAAGAGGGAAAAGGAACAGAGGATTCCAAGCAATTCAACCATTTTGCCTTGGAATAGCAGTCTCGCTTGGCCTGATAATCTTCACCACTTGACCTCCAGAATCAGTCAACTGGATCCGAGGCAGCTGGATTCTAAACAACACCCGGTCAGATTTCAACCTAGATCTTTGAAGTCAAGACATCGATAATGTGGACACTCACCTGTGTTTCGTTCGCGTTTTTCTAGCAGAGTATTCTTTTCCTCATCGTTAAGCACTTCATGTGTAGAACCGAGAACATGCTCGTTGATATTGACCAACAGCTCTGCCTCCTGAATAAATGGAAACAAAGGAAGGAATAGGGAATACTCTACTACATTAATCTCGTTCAACAACCAAAGAGTGTGAGCTCACAATACATAAGTTTTGAGTACATTCTAAAAAGACAGAGTGTGATGTAACGGAAATGGATTATGCCCGCAGTAGCTAAAAGAACAGGATAAACATGATACAGCAAAAAACCCAATAATATTCTTACCTGGAAGACCTCGAACTGAAATTCGCTCGATATATCAGCTATAAGTATTCTAGCAAATGGAGTAATATTCTGTTGAAGAACCAAGATCGCCCGGAAGACATTCTCTGTTTTCATGCGATTGATATAGGTCTTCATTGTTTTCACACCAATCTTCGCTTCCTCCGGGAAGAAAACATAAATCTGGTAGAGCAGAAAGATTAAATTTGGTAACCAGGAGAAAAAAAGACTCGGGGGCAAAAGAGGCTTGACGGAGTATCCTGTACTTCTATGTCGAGCAATTTGAAGAAAAAGACAGAAGAGCGGAACAAAAATAAATCATCATAGCAACAAATAAGAAGACAACATGAATGGCTGCCGATAATTGGTTTCACCGTCTTTAAGGAGTGAAATACTCCAACACAATTCTTGTTCCAAACAGTAACATTCATTTCAGAAGAGTAAAATGGTTGTTCAATCAAGCTCTCAATAACGTTCTCCGTGATGGAAGCATTTCAATGACAAGCGCATTTATCAAGATACTCATGCTCATCCAGTTGTGGGTCCAAATGTGTGTTCTATTCTTCACGCAAGTGGTAGCTACTCGAAAAGGTTCGATATAATATCACTCGCAAACACATGCCATTTCCAAATTCTCAAACTTTAACCAGGTATACCTTCGCTCCGTACAAAACTATTGCACGAGACACGACGAGAAAGGCATTAATGTTACAACTCTAGTTCTACATTCTGATGGAAGAGGAGGGGGAGTTGCAAAATAGCTAACCTTATCCGGGAGATCATTTTTCTTAGATTTCTGGATTGTAAGGTCTTCCCTTCTCATATTTGGCCCGTTCATTGAAATAAACTGATCTTTGCTTATATGAAGCTCGGATTCATCAATGAGGTATCCACGGTCCCTTAGCATTTGATATACAGTATTTCTGATCCTCCACAGCGTAGTGATTTCTTCCTCACCGAGCGTCATCTTCCTGCTAACAAGTTTTGAACAGAATCATTCACTTGGTATAAAAAGCCATCATAATGCCAGCGAACAGAGATTTGCATAGACAGACAGAACATATAATCCCGTGATCAGAAAACAGCCAATTCAATCATCCATGAGAAAATATCGAAGAACCCAATCAACCCATGGTGAACACAGCTGTAGAAGAATAAACAAAGCAACATCGGCATAAAAACAGATGAGTTATCGGCGATCTTATCACGCATCTCAACATCTAATCAAACCCTCCAATACAAGACATTACGTTGGCAATAAAAAAACAAAACCCTAAGAAGAACGCCAACGTCAATTCCCACTCTGTGCAAAATGCAGCATAGCAAATTGAGCTAGGGCACAGAGGGAGATGAGCATAACTCCAAGCCTAAAGACACACTCCTCACTGCGTATTACCAGCAAAACTAACGACTTCGAGCGCTCGACGAAGCTCTGAAAACCAGTTACACCGTTCTCCTACAAACAACCTAGAATCCGTATTTGTAGAAACGATAAACCTACGGAAAGCGACTAGAGATTGAGCAGCCGGAATTGGGAGGGTTCAACTAGGAAGCATCAGTAGTTCGTTAATGCACGTACTGGAAGAGGGCAAGAGGGTCACAAACCTGGATAAAAGATTCCGGTCAAGACCGTAGGTAAAAAGGGGTTTGCTCGGAGAGAGGAAGCAAACTGGTACCGATGAAGAGAAGAAAGCGCTCCTCCGCCAAAAATCCCTCGCCGGCTACCTGGCTTCTGCTGAAACTAAGTAGCGGTTAAAGAAGGGATCACGATTCTTGAATCTTGAGTGTCTGCTTGAAGTATTTATAAGCTTGGAGCCTCGAAATAAGTCTCGGTGAGGGACAGTGTCGACATTCCACGCCATCTTGGGCCGGAAGGAGCGTGGGCTTCACTGTAGACAGGCCTGAAAGATGGACTTTTTGCAGATTGGTTGTGGGCCTGTATTTACGTCCATATCATGTAAGCAATCTGCTACCTTTGCCATATTGTATTTTAGAAGAGGCAGCTAATCCTAACACGAAAAGTTTTTCATGAGAACATGTTTAATTCTAAATTTTTTGGTCTTTTAAGTATCATAATCCTATCACTAATATAAAGAGATTCTCCATAAGAACATGTTTAATTTTAAATTTTCAGTCTTCAGAGTAAATTTGGGAAGGATATTTTCGTCCTTTAATTAATTAAAACTCCAAAAATATTTTATTAATTATACAAATGAAAAAATTCCGTTGGTAAATTTTTTAAAACAAATTATTATATTATTAATTTTAGTTAAAAAGATAGTTTTTTATATTTTGGCGGAGGTTGTCGTGTATAGATATAGTTTTTATTTTCATTTAATTTTATTATGAGATTAAGTGTTTGAGATAAATTATTATATGTGTGACTTTACTAATTATCTATATAAAAATTCAAACATAATATTTTCTTGATTATACTAATGAAAGAAGATTTCGTTGTTCACTTTTTAAAAATCAATTGTTATAGTATTCATATTAATTAGGAAATATAGTTTTTTATATTTTTAGCTGAGATTGTGAGTGTTTGCATAGGTTTAGTTTTTTATTTAATTACATTTTATTATAAGGTTAAATGTTTGAGACAAATTCTTATATATGTGACTTTATCAATTAACTAATTCTTAACTTAACTAAACAAACCAAATAGTTTCATTTATAACTTTTAATTTGAGGTTTTCCATAGAAAAATATATACAAAATAAAAAATTAACGCATTAATGAGAATCAGTTATGGTATATTAGTTTTCTTTGAAAGTGATGAAATGTAGATCACAATCTCCATTTAGAGTCTAGAAGTTCAAAGTTTAAATTAGTATCTAGAAATTTTACTTTTAGGTTCTTTTTCAGGAAACGACAAAAAATTATGAGATCATACCACCTTAGATCTAGGTTTGTGATGTATAGTTTTCTTTTATTATATATAGTGGAAAACCGACAACTCACTTTGCTTTCTTTTTTTCATAACTTCGCTTGATTTTGATCAAATATTAGTGAGAGAATTATATTAGTGCAATGATAATTCTCATCAAAACATCCTTTAACACTAACATATTATTTTTTTATGCTATAACTATTTTAGTATCATTTTGAGTTTTTAAGTTAATTCATACTATTATCGAGTAGTATATTTATTGATTCTACGACTAAAAATATACTCGCCGTGGATAATCATAAAATTTCCTAAATAGTGTTCAAGTAGGATCTTCAAACATCCACTAAAAGGAACAAAATGTGCATAACCTCCTTAGTTACAACTCGCACAAATCTCAAGAGCTATAGTTAAGTGATTTTCAATTTTTCGCAAATTTAGCGAACAATATCTCATTCGTTTCAACTCTGATATTAAATGGGTTAGAAACATCATATTAATAGAAACTTGCAAAGAAAAGTTGAAGCAGACTATGATGAGTAATTTTATAAGAATTGTAAACTCTTCTATTGTTTTTAAATTCAAGTTCATTCATCAAAGAGAAAAGGCGTACCACTAAAACAAAACAAACAAAAAATCGGCCAAATAATGCATCTCAGTTGTTGTTATTTTATAGCAGTATTAGCTGTGAGTTGTACACAACATTTGTTTAATCTAACTTTATTGTTTTGTATCTCGAGGAACCTAGGTTTTTTGGAATATCTATTGCGAAACTATTCAAACTTAGTGACAAAATGAGAGAACTTTCACATCCTCATCCTATACAAACCAAGAGTATGAAGTTAAATTTTCAGATAAAGCCCACCGATTACAGCATCACGAACCCTATAAGTAGTTACACAGTTTTGAAGATAAAGAATGACGAAGAAGAGCAATCTCAGAAAAAAGTTCATGAACTGTACTGGGTAAATTTAAGTTCTTGAAACTGGAATTAAAAAAAAAAGTTCCTTTAAATTTTTGCATTCAATGAAATTCAGGGTAGGAAAAGTATGTTAATATCAGAAGTAGTGAATTCAGTGATGGAAATAATGGCGTTGCATGAGGTGAAATTCTACTACCGCGAAATAGATGTTTCATATTTCCAAACGTTTTACCACTAAAAGTTGGTTTTCAATGAAATGCACGAGAAGAAGGATGAGACTATTGATCGTTTATATAAAGTTTCATTAATGAAAATAAAGTTTTGTGGATAAGATGTTTTTGATGGCAGAACAATCACAAGGAAATCCAAAAAGAAAATTGTAGTGATTTCTAAAAGCAAAGAGTAACTTGAAGTTCGTTTTGAATATTAAGTTTTTTTAGTAATAGTTTATCTTCATTAGTTGTGTTGTTTACTTTTGATAAGGACTTTTGTCCATGAATGATCAAGATGATGTAAAACTTATAATATGTGTTGCTTTTTTGATATTTTTGTTAATTGAATAATCTGGATTCTTTCATGATATCAAATAAATGATTTGGGTAATTATTAAACTTTTGATGTAATTCATCCGGCCAACGGACAGACCCAACTCTAGTTATAGACTTATAGTTGATCATTTTCACTAATACAATTAATACCATTGTTATAAGAACTGAACCAGATCAATGAGTTGGCCAGTAGAACCGTGAAACTAGTTACGATAGCGGACCGGTTCATTGCTTGGACGGCTATTGATAGACCAAAAGGTTTTTCATGGCTCAACATAAAACCAAATGAACCCCCACGGTTTAACTGGTCCACTTGTTCACTATTTTAACCACAATATATTTTAAAAAAAAATACATTAACGTAAATTAAGACCGTCAAACCATGATTATTAATTTTACATCTGCTTCCTCTTCTCATTTTTCCAACCTTGTTGTCGACTTTACGTTGTCCACTACCGACTGACACCGTAATTTTCAATTTGAATTAAAAAAAATTAGGATTTCTTTTGTGAGATGGTTTGAATGATTTATAAGATATTTTGGTGATGATTTCATTCTTAAATTAGTGTAATATACAAGTCGTATATCACTATATTTTATATATAATGAACGCTTCTATCAACGGTTTACCAACAGTTTTGTAACGGTTAACCACTGAACTTTATATCACTAACTTTTCCGGTTCAATCTCCGGTCCGGTTATGAAAACAGAGGGATAATTATGAGTGATTTAGGTATGTAGTTCAAACTATTATGGATAAAATGGATGGATACTAAATGTTAAGTAAAACAGAAGGGAACAATTAGAAGCGAGCATCTGGAAAAAAATCCAAAACTACCACTATAAAAAAGAAATTTACAAAAATACCACCCATACTCAACAATTTCCAAAAATACCACCCTTCCACACAAAACGCGCCTCGAAGGCGCGGTTTGACTCTTCCTATCTGTCAAACCGCGTTGCCATGTGGCGGCCCATGCTACCGCGCGATGAGGAGGCGATCTGATGGCCAAACCGCGCGCCAGCTCAGCGATCCTCGTCGCTCAGTCAAACCGTTGCCCCGAGGCGTGGTTTGCGCGTTGGGGAACGTAAACCGCGCGCTGGAGGCGCGGTTTTAAGTGGGGTAAAAAGACGAAACCGCCCCTCCAGCACGCGGTTTCGTCCCTATATAAACCGCACCCTCCTCCCACTTTCTGCACATCAAAACCCACATTCCCCCCTCTCTCTCTCTCTATAACTCCTCACTCTACTCACCCCCTCCCCATCCAAAAACCTTATAATTAGTTGTTTTGTTGGTTGCGGCTAAGTCCGATCTGCCTTCAAAACACTTTTTCTTTGGTTTTCACTAAAACACCGTCGAATCTCTGTCCGGATTCTGAAAAAATGACCGATTTTATCCAAGAAGAGGGTATTTACTATGATGATTATCAAGCGGTACGTACTCATTTTACCCAATTATTGTTGTTATAATGATTTATTTAATTTATATACTAATAGATTTATGTTGTTATGCTATCGTAGGTTGGGCCGGATGTTGATATATACAATCAACGATATTATGTTGATTAAGGTACGATTGATCCCAATATTTTATACGATCAAGCCAATCATCGTTCAAGAGACGTTTGGAACGACCACAAGGTACATATTATTTATCATCACTTGTAATTTGTATTTTGTTAAAGTAACTTACACCTTTTTCGGTCTCTTCCGTGTAACCATTCCACCGCAACCCAAGCGTGAACCTTTGGAATGCCATCTGCAATAAAACTGTAATTAAGTTACTAACATAAAATCACAAAGGACAATGAAAAGTAATACAAAACAAACTTACGAATTAACATTAATCATAAAAACTAAATAATTTAAAGGTGCACAACTGAAATTTGAAGGAGGAGTGAAGATTTTGAGTTCTCTGGAACAACCTTTTATAGGCGAATTTTACAGTACAAATCGGGAGGGGGGTTAGGTCTGCCATGCAGCCCCACCCCCTGCATGCCGATATGTTGGATGTCGGGTGACCAGGCACAAACCGCGCCTTGGGGCAGCGGTTTACTTTGCACAAACCGCCAGTGGGGGGAGCGGTTTATGTCTGCACATGGTAAACCGCGGCCTGGTGGTGTGGTTTACCAAGCCGACAAATAAACGCTTCCTCACGAAGCGTTTTGTGGTAGGGAAGCCATATAAACCGCGCCTTTGAGGAACGGTTTTACCTGAAATGGAAAATCGCCTGTTGACCAGCCATTTCTGATGTAAACCGCACCCTGGTGGCGCGGTTTATATATTAACCGCCCCTTAGAGGCGCGGTTTTTAATAAACGCTGGTATTTTTGGAAATTGTTGGGAATGGGTGGTATTTTTGTAATTTTTTTAACAGTGGTAGTTTTGGATTTTTTCCCAAGCATCTCTGACTTAGTCAAATGATAGTGCAGGTGTTAAGAACAAAATATTATGTTAGGTGTCCGACATGGTCTGCAATAGTACTTTGTTGTTGGGAAGTCAAATATTGTGATAGCAACCGACACATTTATACTACGATTTTCACAACTTGTCCAACTAAAAATAGTAGGAAGGTGATCGCATTTCAAAGGGTTGTTTTTTATCTATCGAACACTAACACTCATCTTTCTAAAAAACTCATCCGACTTACTTGATCGTCAAAGAAGTAACGAACCAAGTCAACCGAAGAGCCAACCTCTAATTGTGATTGCAGACGCCTAAGAACAATGGAAGTCGATATGTTATGCAAAGAGACTTACTTGGCTTGAACATGAAATTATGTGTGTCACTCCAACTTTAGGAAACATCAATGAGTTTTGTTTAAATGGAAGAACGATGACATGAAATTGGAGTTATCCCTTCATCTTCTTTTTGGGATAGATTGAACCCCTGATTAGTCCCCCCACCCACGCCATTGAAAGACCTCCACTCCACCATTACCAAACGACAAATACCTGACATGAGCCACAAAGAAAGGCCCCCCAAAAACCTGCTCCCCAGTTTTGTTTCTACTCCTCCTCGGCCTACCTATCCCCTGAACAATGGAGCCAAAACCTCGTTTCATTTCATTTACATTACAGCCCATTGAAGACTCATTCATCCACATCCACATCACATCAATTTCCCCCTTACACAAAGATCGTTCATGAATCCACCAGACAGAGAAATTTCACTTCCACAATCATTCACAGCTCTGTCTACAGTAACAGCAACTCTTTTAACCATTCACAGATTGAGACAAACAACACCACCCTGGCTGCCTCGGTTCCATTGGTTCCTGAAGAAGAAAAGAAAGAATTCTGCACCACAATGCACCCGCCTATCAAATCATTCAATCCATCAACTCTCTCCAGTATTAGACTGCACTAGACTAGACTAGACTATACCCCATTTGGTGGGCTTTTGGCAATTGAATTTGTCCCCCAACAACCCATCCACCTTCCCATTCCCCTCCCTCTCTCACTTCCTTTTGCTTCTTTTCACAGCCCACAGTGAGGGACAAAAGGCAGAAAAATGGGGGAAAAGAAAAGATGAGGAAAGGGCGAAGGAGTGAGTGTGAGAGGCTACTAGCTGCAGCAAAGAAACAAACTTTACACACAATAATAATAATAATAATTGCAGGCAGAAGGGGGGAGCACATTTATGATGATATCCAGAAATCAGCACAAATAATAATACACATCTGAATCCAAGCAAACTTGGGTTTTACTTAACAAGTTTTGAATCTAATACAAACACTATAGATCAATATTAAGAGATATATATATATGCCAAAGTAGAGACAAAAAAGTGGTGTGGATCCTGATTCTGTTTGGATCCATGAACCAAAATCCAAATTGGCAGCAGTATCATAAGGGTTTCTGCATTCAGTCAAGCTAGTTGCTGCTTTTGCACTTTCTCAAACGCTCTTGGTGCTGCAAAAAGAGAAGTGGAACACTCTGTGACATTAATTAATCAGTGTGCAAGGAGAATAGTTCAATAATCTAGTTCAACTTGGTGTACCTAGGCCAATGGCGTCGGAGCTCTTCATGATCCTCAGCCTTGTACAGGAGTCGATGAACATCCTGGTAATAAGGGTAAACCAGAAGATGATTGTAAGGGTAAGTATATCCATCCTTAAACGGGCTGGGGAAAGACTTCAACTTTATTATGCATTATTTGAACAAGGAAAGGAAAGGAGACTAACTTCCAAGGAACATCACCAACAAGCATCCAGTCACCATCTTTGTCTTCGTAGGTGAGTACATACTCGGAACCATGAAGAATATCTACCAGTCGGCTCTCGCTCACTCCGTCTCCCCCAGCAACGCCATGAGACCCGCATTGACCTTTAAACCCCGACCACCATTGTTTTGTTGCAGAACAGAGAAAAGAAAGTGAGAAGACTAAGAGATCCCATTTAGATCAATCAGAATCCAAGCATCTATATCATTATGCCTTCACACGCATCTACAAGTTGGGCCAGGGGAACCAGCAATGATGCTTACTGTTTTGTTAATGGATGATAAGACATCATGAAAGCTGAGAAAAGCAAAACAGCAACTATGTTAATGGCTCTGCCTAATCACATCATCACTTCCAAATATCCTTTATTCCAAATGCATAGTCACCACCACCACCACCACCTCTTGCTAACAGATCCGGTGGCTTGGGAACACATAAGCACGTGTTTATACTTCCTTATCCGTCGGATTTACGATCAGATCAGAGAGTGCAGAACGTAAACATACCATAATCACTCTTCCTTTTTTTTTCCCCCGCGTGTATCGTAACTATTTAATCACGAATCGGATGGTTTAGCACGTATAAACACTGTGTTGATGCCTAGTTTACTGTTTCGCAGCCATCAGACTCGTGATTTTCTAGCACTACAACCATCCGATCGTCAATCAAATAGCTAATCAGAAACAAACACGGGGTTTACATCTATCCTGTTCAACCTAACGTCCACAAATTCCTACTTCAAAACCAATTACCAGCTCCTAAAGTAAAATTATTAGAACAAGGGAATCTTTGTTTAATAATAATGACAATAAAAATACTATAAACAGTACCAATAGTGAAGCAGCTGAACATGTTTTCGAGAGCAAGAGAGAGGTCCTTGTAGCCGCCATAAGTCTTGAGATCTACTTTCCTGAGATACGGCGCTCCGTCCATGCTGACCTTGACGTACAAACAATCTGATGATGATGATGATGATGATGATGATGCTGATCCCCCAGACTGTGGATGGTGGTCGCCTCCTTCCATCACGTCACTGTTCTTCGGAGTAGGATGGGAAGCCATGGTGTTCTTCCGAAACGAACGAATTGGCGGCCATCCCACCACTTGTGCCCTGAACAGAGTAAAAACCCAAGTTTTCAATTTTCAATATAATGAACCAGAGGAAAAACAGGGGAAATCCCAAAATTTCAATTTCAGTAATAATAAGCTGAGGGAAAACAGGGGAGACAGAAGAAAGAAAAAGAGAGACGAGATGGAGAGTAAATTAATTACTTAGAAGCTGGACCGGCAGCCTGACCATTCTTCTTCTCCGGCTGAGGAGCCGGCGACGACTGATTCGGCAGCCCGCCGTCCTGACCGGACTCGGAATTCGCAACGGCGGATGGGTTGTTTCTGGGAGAGGAAAAATTGGTGTCAGGTGAGGAGAAAACCCAGTTGCCGGAGCCTCCATGGATGGCGAAGTAGAAGCCCCTCTTGGGCCTGGAAACAGAGGACTTGCAGCTGGGCAGGGCGATGCAGAGCTCCGGGCTGCCGTTGTCGTCTCGCTGGAGGGACTGGGACCCGGGTAACCCGAGCCTCAACTCGGTAGCTTCCATGTTCATGGTGAGAGCAGAGATGGGTTTGATATCCCCTGTTTTCTCCATGGAAGTTTCTTCTGCTGGTGGTGGCGAGAAGCCTATGTAATCATGCTCCAAGGGCACAGACATGAAGGTTGGGATTGGGAAGAAGAGAGTGGGAATTCACGTTGTGAGTGTGAAGAAGAAAGGAGAGGGAGAGGGGAGATTTGTTGTTTGGTTATATTATGCAGAGAGGGAGAGAAGAGAATGCAATGGAGTACTGTTTCCTCTCTGGTAGCCAGCCAGCAATAAGTAAAGGTGGAAAACAATTATTACTTTACTGAGAGTGAGAGGGGGTGTTTGTTTTTGCTCTTCCGGTTCTGCTTTTTTTAAAATTTGTGAAACTGTCGTTGTTTCTCCTTCCTTCTCGTCTTCCTTTCCTGACACTGGAATTTAGTTTCTGCGATCTTTTGGAAAATGACCAAACAAACGCATCCCCTGGAGTTGCTCTCTGATTCAATTCACACCACTGTTCCTTTCCGTGAGAACATATATATGGCTTTGGCTAAAATGGGTCCGGATCCTATCAGTAACCGACCTATCAGTAACGGTCAGTAACCGTCCATCTGACCGTCCATCGCGCCATCTTCCCAACCGTCAGATCATGGCAATTAAATACACGCGGGGGCAAAAAGATAATCACGCCTTCTCTCCTTCTGACAATTTGAATTGCAGACGTGATCGCGACAACCGTCCCGCCTTCTCTCCATTCTTCCTCCCGTTCCTCTATTCTCTCACCCAAATCGCAGCAAAAACTTCCAGAAAAAACTTCAAATCGAACGATTTTCGCAAAGCTTTTCGAAGAATCATTCAACGAAACTCTTCGTCGAAAAACGAAGGGTTTCCAACTTCAACGAGTCTCAAAAATCGTTTTCGCACAAAATATCAAGGTAAAACCTCACTTCTTTCTTCGAAATCCATCCATAGAATAATAGAAACAGTATTTCAGTCACTCTTCATGTGAAAATTGTAGTAAAACTTGCTACATTACCGAATCGTTAGCATGCATTGCTGAACTGGTGTAGAATCTGTTGTGTTTTGCTTCGTTACCACATGGTATGGCGTGGTAAACTATGATTGCACGTTATAAAAAAGCAAAAAACTATGTTTTGCTTTGTTACCATATGGTAATGTGTGGTAAGCTATGGTTTCATGTTGTAAAAAAGCAAAAAACCATAAGTGCTGCTGTGTTTTAGTTTGTTACCATATGGTAATGTGTGGTAAGCTATGGTTTCATGTTGTAAAATAGCAAAAAAACAATAAGTCCTGCTGTGCTTTAGTTTGTTACCATATGGTAATGTGTGGTAACCTATGGTTTCATGTTGTAAAATAGCAAAAAACCATAAGTTCTTCTGTGTTTTAGTTTGTTACCATATGGTAATGTGTGGTAACCTATGGTTTCATGTTGTAAAATAGCAAAAAACCATAAGTTCTTCTGTGTTTTAGTTTGTTACCATATGGTAATGTGTGGTAACCTATGGTTTCATGTTGTAAAACAGCAAAAAACCATAGGTCCTGCTGTGTTTTAGTTTGTTACCATATGGTAATGTGTGGTAACCTATGGTTTCATGTTGTAAAAAAGCAAAAAAACCATAAGTCCTGCTGTGTTTTAGTTTGTTACCATATGGTAATGTGTGGTAAGCTATGGTTTCATGTTGTAAAAAAGCTAAAAAACAATAAGTGCTGCTGTGTTTTAGTTTGTTACCATATGGTAATGTGTGGTAAGATATTGTTTCATGTTGTAAAAAAGCAAAAAAACCATAAGTGCTGCTGTGTTTTAGTTTGTTACCATATGGTAATGTCTGGTAAGCTATGGTTTCATGTTGTAAAATAGCAAAAAAACAATAAGTCCTGCTGTGTTTTAGTTTGTTACCATATGGTAATGTGTGGTAACCTATGGTTTCATGTTGTAAAAAAGCAAAAAACCATAAGTCCTGCTGTGTTTTAGTTTGTTACCATATGGTAATGTGTGGTAAGCTATGGTTTCATGTTGTAAAAAAGCTAAAAAACAATAAGTGCTGCTGTGTTTTAGTTTGTTACCATATGGTAATGTGTGGTAAGATATTGTTTCATGTTGTAAAAAAGCAAAAAAACCATAAGTGCTGCTGTGTTTTAGTTTGTTACCATATGGTAATGTCTGGTAAGCTATGGTTTCATGTTGTAAAATAGCAAAAAAACAATAAGTCCTGCTGTGTTTTAGTTTGTTACCATATGGTAATGTGTGGTAACCTATGGTTTCATGCTATAAAAATGGAGGAAAACATACGTCCTATTGTGTTTTACTTCGTTACCATATGGTAATATGTTATAAGACATGGTTTGATGTAATTACCATATGGTAAAAATGAGATAAATATATGGTTTGATTTCGTATGGTAGGAAACCATTATCGTACCATATGGTATATTATGGTAAAAAGCATACTAACAGACTATTACTAATTTCTACATTCAGGTACACTATGGTAAAACCAAGACACAGTTTTCGCACAAGGTGCAGCCCAACAAGAATATCTGCAATTGCAAGGTCAATAACAGATGAACGGAAAGAGCAACTTGACATATTAGGCCTAGCAGGCTTAATGTCAATCAAGCAGACAAAGATAAACAACCATTTTGCACTGTTCGTAATGAACAAATACGATCCAGAGAAAGAATCGTTCAAGTTACCTGACGGGACACACATGAAGATATCACCAATCGACTTTCATAGGGTATATGGTCTGCCGATGGGGGATAGGGAAGTTGTACCTCCCACGATTTCTTGGGATGACGCAGCAGATTATGCAGTAGAAACCCTACTCGAAGTAGATGGAACATCCACTCCAAGGGTAAAGCTAAGTCAGGTAGAAAAAGATCTTCCTACAACCAAACTGACTAAGAGATGGATGCAATTGTTCTTTCTGCTGGTCACCGGAGGCTTGCTGTGTCCAACTTCAGCACCTATGGCTGAACTCAACATGCTTGAGTACTTGAAGACCGAAGAACTGAAACATTTCACCAGCTACAACTGGTGCAAATACTTCTTCAAACACATGAATGAAGGATTGAAATCACCAAAGCTCTATGTCAGTGCAGATCTTCACTTCCTTACAGTAAGTCTCCATTCCCTTGGCCATTTCAACCTTGTTACTCATATATTTTATATATAAATGATACTCTTTGAAAAAAACTAATACAACTATCTGCATAAAAAGGTATGCTTCATGTACAAACTGGACGAAATGGCATTCTCAACCCAGCTTCGAACACCAACAGTAAGCTACTATGATGATAACAATGTTGATAGCAACTTTGAGAACATTAAGAGCTACTACAATGGAAAAGAGTTGAACGAGATCGAAAAGCTTGCCAACATTAATGACGATGAGGCTGATGGTGCAGCTGATGAGGAAGAGGAGAATGAGCCAGTCTATGAATCACCGAAAAGACAAAGAAACAAAAGTCCAGACCAGTCATCATCACTGAACTTTGATTTGAAGAATATCAGAACAGTCAACCAAGTAAGTACAAATTATCTATATTACAGTTGTCCAAGTTTGTTACCATATGGTAAGGTGTGGTAAGCTATGGTTTCATGTTATAAAAATGGAGCAAAACATAAGCCCCCGTTGTGGTTTACTTCGTTACCATATGGTAATGTGTGGTAAGCAAATGGTTTCATGTTATAAAAATGGAGGAAACCATAATTCTTGTTCTGTTTTACTTTGTTACCATATGGTAATGTGTGGTAAGCTATGCTTTCATGTTTTAAAAATAGCAAAAAAACAACAAGTCCTGCTGTGTTTTAGTTTGTTACCATATGGTAAGGTGTGGTATGCTATGGTTTCATGTTATAAAAATGGAGGAAAACATAAGTCCTGTTGTGTTTTAATACGTTACCATATGGTAATGTGTAGTAAGCAATGGTTTCATGTTATAAAAATGGAGGAAACCATAATTCTTGTTCGGTTTTACTTTGTTACCATATGGTAAGGTGTGGTAAGATATAGTTTCATGTTATAAAAAATGCAGAATAGTGATAATAATTGCCAATACCATGTATTACCACCATGGTATCTTACAAAAACTCCCATTATGCAGGCTGAGAATGCAATCAAACTGCTTGCAGCATCAATGAAGGCAATGATGAAAGCAATCAAAGACCAGTACAAAAGCCAAATTGACAATCTGATCAGACACAAGGAGAATCTTGCGAAAGAAAGCTGTGATGAAAATGTTCAGCCAACAGAAGGAGAAAAATTTCAGTGTGAAGATGATGAAGAAGAGAATGATGAAGAAATGAATGCCAGTTTGAATAAAACACTCAATGAAATATTCAAACAGGCAAATATAGACCAGAACAAAGAGGAGAAGGATGAGCAAACACAGAAAGAAGATGATTCACAACCATCTACAGTCGATCTTGCTGCATCTACACCGAAGCCAAAAGAAAAGGAGCAAGATGTTTCTGATCCAGGAGCTGTGAATAGGGAAAGCATCCCAAAAGAAGGAGGTCCACTGGGGGAAGTTGCAACAGAACCACCAGAACAATCTGTTCAAGAAGGTCTGAATCAGGGAACACCACAACAAGAGGACACCCCGAAAGCAGTTCCAGAACAGACATCTGCAAAAGAAACAGGAGAAAAAGGAGCTACCAAAACAGCAGATCCAATGGAAGTTGATAAGGAAACAACAGAAGAAGGGAATACAGGGCAAGCTGCGCAAAAGACTCCAGAAACTGACAGCGAGAAAACGGTGTCAGATGATGTTGTTCGAGAAGAGGCTCCAAAACTGACAACCAAAGATGCTGAGAAGCCTAAAGTGACAAGGGAAGACGACATTCCATCCTTTGATCTCAGCCCTCTCAACCGTCAAACACCAACAACACCAACGAAGTTGACTACCAACACGGCAACCGATCAACCAGGAGAGCCTCGCAAAAGAAGAATCGTGGTGAAGAATGTGCACGGAAATGAAAAGAAGGCAAGAGCAACACCACCACCAGCACAGCCACAAAGCACCCAGTCACAGACGGCGTCATATGCTATATGGTCAAATCTGTACACAAACAGCCAAGAGAAGCTCAAGGAAGTCCGTGAATGCATAGATGCTTACCTTGAGGACCTGAATTCTCCAACTGTTGATCCAGTTGCTCCACAATCACAAAAAACACCAGCTGAATGGTCAACACCAACACAAACAACACCTGATGATATGTTCAACAACATCCTGGAGTACATAAGATGCAAAAACAAGAAATTTGTCAAGAGGTAAGTCATCATCTTAAAACTTCTACTGTTATATGATTTTACTGTAGTGATCTAGTTTGTTACCATATGGTAAAATAAGGTAAGATATGGTAAAATAAGATAAATCTATGGTTTAATGTTACAAAATGTAGTAATGCACAAGTCCTGTTTTGTTTTAGTTTAATACCATATGGTATGATGTGGTAAGCTAAGGTTTGTTGTTAAAGAAT